CAAACCAGTTATGTTGGTGCTAAGATGGTGTCTTTGGCATGCCCCCTCCTCCGGTGCTGGCCCTCTTCCTCGTCGACAGTCATGTCAAATTGGTTCAAAACTAACAAAGTCCATGCTCAATAATTCAGGTATACAATCCAACAATTTTCAGTAAGGTCATCTGAACACTTTCTTTTTTTTTTTTTTTTTTGTGCTGAAATGTTTCACCTTCCATCCAGAAGGCGTCATCAGTCAAGGAGACACACAACACAAAATTGATTCTTCCCCCAACAGCTTACTCCAAAGTATAACAAACCAGTTATGTTGGTGCTCCTCCGGTGCCGGCCCTCTTACTTGTCGACAGTCATGTCAAACTGGTTGAAAACAATGGATCGTTAGCACCCTGATGGTTGCTTGCTATTCACAAGGGACTGAGTGATACTAGCAATAACAGCATTGTAAGAGAGGGACAGCTGAACAAGGAGGCCTCCACCCCTGTTTAATGATGGATGATTTCTTTTCACAAAGATCGCCTCCTTTACTCCTCTCAAACCATCGTTCCTCTCTGTCCAGGATGTGAGCATCTTCATCCCTGAACGAGTGACCGCTGGCCTGGAGATGAGTGTAGACCGCAGAGTCCTGGCCTGATGATGTTGCTCTTCTGTGCTGGGCCATCCTTTTGGCCAGTGGCTGTTTAGTTTCCCCGATGTAAGACTGATCACAGCCCTCCTGACACTGAACAGCATACACAATATTACTCTGCTTGTGCTGGGGGACTGTATCTTTGGGATGAACCAGTCTTTGCATCATTAACTGAGACCTCACAGTCCAAGAAAGCCAACCTGCCATTTTTTGCATCTTCTCATATGAACTTGATGTATTTATCCACAGAGTTGATGTGATCAGTGAAATGTTGGACTTCCTGAGATTTAGTTTTAACTCGGGTGTCGTCAACATACCTGAACCAATGACTTGGTGGTGTCCCTGAAAAGGACGTCAAGGCTCTCTTTTCTACCTCCTCTGTACAGGTTGGCAACAATAGGAGAAACTGGAGACCCCATAGCACACCCATGTTTCTGCCTATAATATTGCTCCCCATATGTGAAGTAGGTTGACTGCAGGCACAGTTTCAAGAGTTGACACAGTTGTTCTGTGGAAAGCGTGGTCCTGCTGCTCAGAGTGGTGTCTGATTTTAACCTTAAACTGACCACCTCTACTGCATCATCAACATGAATGCACGTAAAGAGTGATGTGACATCAAAAGAGACCATTGTTTCATCGGTCTCCATGATGACATCCCTCACCTTGTCCACAAAGTCCATGGTGTTCTGTATGTGATGTTCTGAGCTGCCAACTAAAGGGATGAGTACAGATGCCAGATATTTGGAAACATTGTAAGTGACAGAGTTAATCATGCTAACAATTGGTCTTAAAGGTACACCTTGTTTGTGGATTTTAGGTAAACCGTACAGACTAGGCGTGGCCTCCCCTGGGTACAGTCTGTGGTACAGAATATGGTCAATAGCCTTGTCCTGCTCCAAAATTTTCAGGCAATCTATCAACTTCTTCTTGTAACCACTTCCTGGATCTCTTCAGCAATTCATAATTGGTTAAGTCACTAAGGAGTGTCATAACTTTTTCATGACAGTCTTTCTGGTTCAAAATCACTGTGCACCTTCCTTTGTCTGCTGGGAGAATGATGATGTTTTTGTCCTTGCTAAGAGTGGTGAGTGCATCCCTCTCCTCTCTACTGATGTTGGAAGGTGGTGGTTTGGTATTGCTGAGGCAGGCTGAAACTTTGATTCTGAGTTGTTCTGCTTCACACTCTTTAATTTTGTTGTTATGTATGGCTGACTCAGTGACTGTGATCATCTCCACCAGAGAAACTTTTCTTGGTGCAACCGTAAAGTTCAGTCCCATGGCAAGAATCTCTGTCTCCGGCTGGGTGAGCTGTCTGTCAGATAAATTCTTTACCCACTTTTCTGACTCCCTGTCGTGTAACTGTCTCCCGGAGTGTTGTCTTCCACTGAATGTGTTGTTATTGGAATCGTGATGGTGTTGACGAGTTATCAGTAAGTTAAATTGGTTTTGTTGTCGAGTCTTGGACTTGACATGGTGTGCTAAGCGTGCCTGATCTGTACAGTCTATCACTTGCTGAAGTGTGGTCTGATCTAGGCACGTTGTTAGTTTTTGTTTAATGTGCTCTTCTTTAGACAGTTACACGACAGGGAGACAGAAAAGTGGGTGAATAATTTATCTGACAGACAGCTCACCCAGCCAGAGACAGATGTCTTTTCGGACGTCCTTTTCAGGTACACCACCAAGTCATTTGTTCAGATATGTTGATGATGACTGGGTTAAAATTAAATCTCAGGAAGTCCAACATTTCACTGATCACATCAACTCTGTGGATAAATACATCAGGTTCACACGAGAAGATGTAAAAAAATGGCAGGTTGGCTTTCTTGGACTGTGAGGTCTCAGTTTCTGATAGAGGACATTTGCAAACTGAGGTGTACCACAAACCCACCCACACAGACCAGTATTTGCAGTTTGACTCCCATCACCCTTTGGAGCACAAGTTAGGAGTCATCAGGACTCTGTACCACAGAGCAGACAGCATCCCCACTAGCTCAGGAGCCAGGCAGAAGGAGAAATCCCACACAAGACAGGCTCTAGAGCATATGTGTCAAACTCAAGGCCCGGGGGCCAAATGTGGCCCTCGTTGACATCTTATCTGGCTCTCAAGATGATATGTGAAACATAAAATGCTTCAATCTCTTGAACTTTTTCAGTAATCTTTGATTATGATGTCGAAAGCACATCAAAGAACATCAAGTGAGGAACCTGTGACCAAGAAAATATGCTGGGTATCTGATTTGAGGTAATGGAGTTTTTGAACTTGGCCCTTAGTTTGAAAAAGGTTTTAAGTTTGGCCTCCTTTTGTAAGTATGTTTGACACACCTGGTAGAGCAATGTGGATATCCTAACTGGGCCTTCCTGAAAGCAGAGAAGAAACCCAAACAGGACTCCAGTCAGTCATCAGGTGAAAAGGAGGAACCCAGACCCAGACCAGTGGTCATTCCAGATGTTGAGGGAGTATCAGAGAAACTGAGACCTTTATTTTCTAAACATAACGTCCCAGTGGCTTTTAAACCCCAAAATACATTACGGCAAAGACTGGTTCATCCCAAAGATCCAGTCCCCCGGCACAAACAGAGTAATGTTGTGTATGCTGTTCAGTGTCAGGAGGGTGATCAGTCTTACATCAGGGTAACTAAACAGCCACTGGCCAAAAGGATGGACCAGCACAGAAGATCAACATCATCAGGCCAGGACTCTGCGGTCTACACTCATCTCCAGGCCAGTGGTCACTCTTTCAGGGATGAAGATGTTCACATCCTGGACAGAGAGGAACAATGGTTTGAGAGAGGAGTAAAGGAGGCCATCTTTGTGAAAAGAAATCGTCCATCATTAAACAGGGGTGGAGCCTCCGGGTTCAACTGTCCCCCTCTTACAATGCTGTGATTGCTAGTATCACTCAGCCCTCTGTGAACAGTAAACAGCCATCAGTGTGCTAATGATCCATTGTTAGGCTGATGGTCCTTCTTGAGCATGTGAGCAGCTGGTTTTGGTTGTCAGCAGCAAACTGGTTGATCCACTCTGAGAAGGTGCTATTTAAGAGACTGAGCTGAATACAGCACCTCAGACTGAGGAAGTCTCTCGGATGGAAGACGAAACGTTTCTACGATTTTTTTTGTTTTTTGAACCCGTCCAGAGGACCAGACTTAACTTTTTTAGTTTTTTCTACCTGGATTATTGAGCATGCATCAGGATAGTTTATAGTAAGTGTGAATCGAAGTGTTTAAAGTTGTTAAATTTCTCAGAGTGGAGCAGAGCATACTTAAAATTCAACTAATCAGAACAAATGTGAAAGGGTACATAACAGCTGAAATTAGCAACAAAAAAAAACATCTGAAAAAATATTTAAATTTGCTCATGGAAGCTGAAAAAAGCTGAACCAGAATGAAATGTGAAAGGAGAGTAAAATGTTGTAAACAGATCTAAATTTCTGAAGAATGTAAAATGAGCTCAATTCATTTTTTAAGAGTAAAATAATAAAGGCAAAATATTTCAAAAAGCTAAAGTTACACCAATATCAAAAGTCATAGCAGGATTGTCCTGAAAGAGCTGAACGTTTTGATTTATGATTTGTTGAAATAGATGAAAGCTGCTGGATGAGAAATGTGTCAAAAAATTCATGGAAGAAAAATGGATCCCAATAGTGTGACTGCTTCTTAAACATTCGCACAAATACTTGTGTATATAAAAGTTGTATTGATCATGGTCAGAAAGCTCAAACATGGAAATGAGTTGTCACTGTGGCATCATTATGTACAGTTTATAATGGCTCTTAAACGTTTAATTTTACAACAATGTTCAGTCAGGTCATCTGGATGGTTCCTTTTTTTTTTTTTTTTTTTTGCTGAGATGTTTCATCCGAAGGCCTTCTTCAGTCTGAGGAGCAACAAACAACCTGGAGTCCCACAAAGTCCCAGTTTCTCAACTGGGAGTGTCGTATTTGTAGGACTCCAGGTTGTTTGTGGCTCCTCAGACTGAATAAGTCCTTCGGATGAAGGATGAAACATCTCAGAAAAAAAAAAAGGAACCGTCCAGATGACCTGTTGGATTTGTACCTGTATTATTGAGCACAAACTTTTGGTGTTCAATTTTAGTATCTTTTAGAAACAAAACATGTTTTCTTAGCTGCAAACGACCACAACTTAACAGTATTTTTAACATTATTTCTTTATTATTCATTCAACCTTTATTTAAACAGATAAATCACATTGAGCCTCGAAGACTCATTTACAAGAGAGGCCTGTTTAGACAGACCAAAAGTAGTGAAACTGGACACATGTAGGAATTAGTTGTGCTGATCTTGGGAAATAATTGCTTAATGTTTTTATGTTTGTGTTTAATTTTTGTCCTTGCTCTGACTCTTGGTGTTTGTTGAGCAGTTCCTTCTCCCCGACCAGACAACTCTTTCCACGACAGCCGAGGTCAGAGCCGGGATTCTGCTCTGTCGGGGGACGGCAGCAGCTTCACCAACCACTCCAAACGTCAGCCTGCATTTGACCCCTGGTAATAACACAATGTAACCACAACCTAAAATACTCACTTCTGTTTGATAAAAGATATTTTGTTGTTGTTGTTGTTTGTTTCTCAGCCTTGACAGCATGACAGCAACACAAATGAGTTCACTGCTGTTGTTGAAACAATGCTGTCAAGACTAATTACATGCTGCCCAGATGACATTGTGGGTTTGACACAAATTGTCAGGTCTTGGTTGAAACAGAAAAAACAACTTCTCAGCAGGGACATCATGCTAAGCCCTCATTCTTTTATTTTCAGGACTGGCCCAGATACTGTAGTCTTGAATGCCTCCGAGCCATCCAAAGAAAAGGAGAAGCAGGGATTTTTTAGAGCAATAAAAAAGAAAAAGAAAAAATCTCAGATGGTAAGTTGAAGACTTCTGTATGCAGGATTTTTAAAAAGCAATATATTGCTTTCTACTTGTCTGTCCACAGGTTGCACCTCTTCCACAGCTTGCCAGATGCTTATTAGTTTGCTCCATTTGCTCTTCAACAGAAATACTCTTGTCTTAATGTGAAACATTGTTTTCTGTGCCACCAGTCATGTGTTTTTACAGTACAGGCAAAAAGATGGAAGGCTCCCTGTCATCAAGAAATATCTTGACCCTCTATTTAGTCCAAAGAATAGCATAAAGCGTAGTTCCTCTGTGAGAGTCCTCCCTGTAGTGCCTTCTCCCATCTTGTTTTACAGTATCCTCACCTCCTACCTCAGTGTCTTCTGGTCCTAACATCGCATGCATTAACATTTATCATCACTGTTTTGTTGACTCATTCTAATCGTGTTCTGTTAGAGAATTGTGCAGTAAGAGTGAGCCTTGTTTGACTATGAACAAAGTAAACTTACAGTTTTTAAACAGAGCCACACACACACCAATAAATAATTACATTTGTGTTTTGAGCTTTTAAATAACACATGAATAAAGTTGGATTTTGCCGTTAGAAGTTTTTAGTTATATGAAAAGTAGTGCCATCCTAAACAAAAACTTTTTTCTGTATAAAAAGCCCAGTATTCCATGCGCATATCACCCACCACCTTTCATGTGATAATTTTAAACTAAGGTCATTTTATGTTCAGCAAATATGAAGTTATAGCAGTTTTGGTAAAAAATATAAATGCTATGCCAAATCCCGTGCTCAGAGTCTGTGATGTGAATGACTCATTTACAACCACTCAAAAGTTTTAGCACAATTTACCGGTAAGTAAAATTGACAAAGTAATATTCATCTTTCTGTTTTCTATGGTAATGTGGCTCTGGCAACCCTCTTAAATTGAGCAGGTAAATCTGTTGTAGATGTACATCTAATGATTATCACCTGAAAGTTGAATTAAAATCTGTCCAGTGGGTCATGATATGTCTTCATACAGAGTTGATATTACATAGTTAATAGCAACATTTTAAACAAAGGTTTGAACAATCTGTGAGTGCTCAGAATATGTGCTGGAGATCAGTCTCAGCTACCACCATGCCAATTTTAAGCTCCGTGTCTGTAAAACTGACTGAATTGGAGACATTTGTGTGTGTTTTTAAGGTCAACTAGCTGTGGCAGCCATCTTGAATTGGATTGATTCAGATGATGTACATACATTGATTAGTTTCTGCAAATTTAAAATTTGTTTAGCGGTTCATGAGGTGATTAGCTAACAGAAACACACAAATACGAACATACACTTTATTGCTCATCTTTCAGCAGCGGGCGATAATTAAAAATGGCGGGTCTGACAAGTCCCTTTTATGTTGTGATTCGGATCATTACGCCCTCTGTGACTGAGCTTCACAGGCTGAGTGAGGACGTACGACAGCACTTTGGTTTTGTTGCTTCCCAACGTAACGCAAAAGCATCTGATCCACTTTTCAACGTGGGCCTAAACGAAGACCTAATAATAGAGTTTAGATCAAAGGGATGGGAGGTGGGATAAAAGAAGAGGTCCTAAGGACAAAAGCCTCCATATTTTGACATGTTAAACTGTCTACCACCTCTGTGGCAGTAATGGTGCAGCATGAAACTAGTGTTTGAGGCTCCATTCACGTTTCTATTTTTAAGTGACAGTTTGCACAGATGCTGGCAGTGGGTGGGTGTTAGGGGAGTTACTGCTGATGACAGTGCACAAATAAACGCAATCTGGCCTGCAGAAACCACGCATTTAGACTTGGAGCTGGAGAACTATCATACCCCACACTCCATAAAAAAACTGATAGTTTGAAAATTCCTCAGCAACAAAACAAAAAAAGAAACCGTCAGAATGACCTGACTGAACATTGGATTGTATACCTGGATTATTGAGCATGGACTTTGGTGTTTTGAACCAGTTTGACATAACTGTTGATGAGGGAGAGGGCGTGCCCCAGAGGCCATCTTAGCACCAACATAACAGTTTTTTTCCACTTTGGAGTAAGCTGTTGGGGAAGAATCAGTTTTGTTTGGCGTTTGCTCAGACTGATGAAGCCTTCTGGATGTAGGGCGAAACGTCTCAGCACAAAAAAGAAACCTTGGGTCTTGGAAGAGGGCAAGAAACAGATTAACAGCCAGAAGGGCTGTCCAGAGCTGTCCCAGGGCTCTGGTGGGCGGCCAGGAGGCAGTCCGGCAAGTGGAAATGTCAAAGGCAAATGGCCGGGCGACCATCCAATACTTGGCAATGGGACCAGATCTGCAGCGGGTGATGCAGGCATGGGGGTCAGATCTGCAGCGG